TAGGGAAAGGAGCTCCTACCCTGGGGCAATAGAAAAGTAGTGAGGGTTGATCACCTGGCCCAGCCCTGCACAGCCTAGCTCAGCACACCCAGCCCCACCTGCTCCATGGGTGACTGGACAGCATGGGAAGGCCTCGATCAGCTGAACCTGTCTGGGGGGTGCAGGGTGCCTGCGGGAGCCCACAAGGACAGGGACATCAGAACAGCGACATCACAGGTAAGCCCTCCATACAGAGAAAAGGGAGGATCAAACATCTGCTCTCTCACCCTGGAAACCAGAGCCCTGAGTAGGGAGAAAACCAGTTTCGTACTGCCTGAGTCGCCTGGGGCACTCGGCTTCTTGGCTGTGTGGCCCACTGGGGCAGATGAGTCCTGAGCTCGGGTGGGACAGCCCTGGACCCCAAAGCTTTGACTGTTGCTAGTATCAGACCCCTTCCTGTGCTAGGTATCCAGCTTCTTAAGTAGGTTATTTCGATTAGTTTTCTTAAGAACCACGTGAGATAGAGCACCACGTTACGGGTGAAAAAACTGATTGCTGGAGAGTTTGGATAACTTGCTAAAGCAGGCACAGCTAACGCATATCAGAACTGAGAAACCCACCCACGCTTTAGATCCCCCTCTGTGTTTTGATAGAGGTAGACATCTTCAGAATCGGAACATTGACCCAAAAGTCCCTTTCAGAAACACTGACTCAGACACAAGTTATCATCACAACATCTTTCACCTGGGAGGCTAAAGAGAAAAGCGTTCTGACTTCAGAGACCTTGGTCTGTTTTGCCTTGGACAATTCCGACCTGCCTCGAGCTGGTGACTTGGAAAAGATTTGGCTGAGTATTCCCGTTTGTAAACTGAGACCAATGACACCTGTTTTGCAGAGGTTTTATGCAAGAAAATGAAACAAATTGCGTAATACAAAGTACAGGCTTAAGAAATCTTAGTTCCCTGTTAACTCTCTGACACAACTCTGGTCTAGCACAATTACTGACTGTGTGCAATTCTGGGATCAAAGGCAGGCACGGATTACTTTTGCCTGAGTCACCTGTGCTCCAGACGCAAAATCATCTGAAATGCAAATACAGTCGTCTGATAATTTATTATGTGAAACTAACTACAAAGAGTTGCCTCAAGGGAAAATGAAAATGGGACCCAGGACAGCCCTTCCTGTTTGATATTAAGTCTGATATGCAAGAAGGTGTGGTGCTTCCAGAAAATTCCGGCTTCTGAGCCATTAGTAGTCACGAGAAAGATCTGCTAGAAGAAGGGACACTTTCACTTGAAGAGTGGCCATCAAGGAGCCTCTAGGGCTTTCCATCACATCCTCAGCCCACCTCTGATTTCATCCTTGACTGCAGTTAAGGGTTATGTGCAAGCCTACGTCCATTTGCCCCATGCTGACAGCTCCCCATCACATGCATGCTGGGGGTCCCTCTGCTTTCTGCCCCAGGGTCTTCTCTGATGTCATAGGAGCCCCCTTGGCCCGTATACAGGGCAGCCAGAGCTGAAGGGGTGCTAAAGCTCCTTGTGGGACAGGAGGCAGGGGACGAAAGCTCCGGAGTCAGCATTCAGGAATAGTTCAGAGAGGCATTTGCTGGGCTTCTCAGAAGGCCCAGTGGAATCCATCTCCTGTTGCCCCAGCACAACTTCACTATGGTGCCATATCCTGGTTTTCTCCTTGCCTGCTTCATTCTCCCTGCTCTCTGACAGTGATGGAATGATGTCACATCAGAAGACCCTTCTTGGGCTTCCCTGGTGGCGCAGTGGTTAAGAATCCACCTGCCAATGCAGGGGACACGGGTTTGAGCCCTGGTCCGGGAAGATCCCACGTGCCGCGGAACAACTAAGCCCATGTGCCACAACTACTGAAGCCCGTGCGCCTAGAGCCCGTGCTCTGCAACAAGAGAAGCCACTGCAATGAGAAGCCATGTACCACGACGAAGAGTAGCCCCCGCTCGCCACAACTAGAGAAAGCCCACGCACAACAATGAAGACCCAACGCAGCCAAAAATAAATAAATAAATAAGAAGACCCTTCTCTTTACAAGAGACCACCATTTTTCTTTTCTTCGTACTGCCATTCAGTCATTCAAAAAGTCTTATATAACATATATGAATGAATCTTTCTCCATTCATTTTGGTTTATTTTGAATTCCCAACAGACTTACATGGTCTCTGCTCCCTTAAAGCTCTGAACCTATTGATATTTGCAACTGAATAGACTAGAGTTATGTTTTAGGAAAGTAGAGTTGGCCTGGACTCAGATAATCATTTTTTTTCTTCAGTCATTCAACAAACACTTATTGAATACAGAGTAGATCCAGGTTTTGATGCAGCCTAAACCTTATCAAATGTTAGGGTGCTCTTTGAAAAAGAGAATAGAAAAAAATTTTTAAGTCTTGGAAAGTTTCTGTGCAATTGAGAAGGGCCTGAAGTTATTTTATTCTTCACTGACTTCATGGCCAGTCTATTCGTCACTACTTACCGTGTGTAGGTACTGTTCTATACTGTTCCAGGTGCCTAGAAACACCAGTGCAAAAACAAAACAAAACAAAGAAACTAAAAACCAAAAACAGACAAAGCTTCTAGATGAGGTGTATGTTTTCAGCAACACCAAATTTGTGACTTGATAATTAATTAACTTAAAAATAAAAAGGAAATATACCTGGTAAATACTTATTCCCTAAAAAAAAATAGAGTATTTTTGAGAATATTAATATGATAGGTAGATCATACCTTATCATGAGAACAATCCTCAGCTTTCTAGGACTCCATGCACCCTACCCCAAAGAATGTGAGTCCTAGCTGAAAAACTCCCTTTTTTTTTGCACACACCCAGCCATGGTCAGTAGGCTGCTTTGCTGTCAGGCTCTTGGTCCCTGGGACAATGTGGGTCCTGGGCATAGGTGGGAAAGCCCTTCCCCAAGTTTGCCAGACCCCAGTCACAAGCATTTCCATGCAGTGCTACATCAGCCTCCTTCTTGTCTCTGATTTTGGATTCCATGTCCTTTCTCACTACTGTGTGATTATAGGAATTACCCATCCAGATAACATGGAGATATATAATCACAGAAATAGGGGAGCCACACACACTCACATGACCTATGTTTGAAATGACAGTATGCCCTGATACTGTCTAGCTGTAAGTCTTGCACTACAGCAATTTATGATTCAATATAATAAAATATGATTCAATCAATATTCTCTCATTTGGTGTGTATGAGACCTTTCAAATGGAGACAGAACATTTCCCTGTGGCCCTGGAGGCATCATGGATGTGATGGGTCTCTCATCCACATCGCTAATGCGCCTCCTTTCTTTTTCACAGAAAGCACGGTCACAGGGGTAGGTGGTCTAGTCCTCCCATGGCCTCCTTGGAAAAAAAAGGGAGGACTCTTACCCCCAAGGATATAGAGACCTGAGCACGGATAGTGGGGCTCCCAATGTAAACAATTCTTCAAATTCCAATGACTTTGACCTTGAGACTGAAAACATTCTGGACATCAGGTAGTTCTTTTTAAATGAAAAGATCACTGTTGGCTGAGAGTCAATTATCCAGAGTTTAGGCAAAGGGGAAAAAAAAACTGGTAACATTTTGAGCAGAGAAGTCACAAAAGTACCAGGATTTTGCCATGAGAATATTTCTTAGTCTACAGAAATATGAAAAATCTTAACAGCGTCCAAATAAGGAGTTTCATTATGCAGAGAAGAAAAAAATTCCTTACTAAAAGGCAGGGAAAAAGCGTAGAGACATAAGATTTCTTTTTAAAGCAGACTTACTAATTCTTCCTGTTCTGAGCTGTTCAACTTTATATATATTATTGACTTGTTCCTGTGGGAAGGGCTGTGGCAGCTGAGCTCTGCAGCTCAAGCATGTGTCAAGGATAGTGACATCACTGAGTTACTGACAGCCCAAGTTGTTGTTTTGGCCGGGCCTCGAGGCTTGTGGGAGCTTAGTTCCCGGACCAGGGATAGAACCCAGGCACACCACGGCAGTGAAAGTGCTGAGTCCTAACCACTGGACGGCCAAGGATTTCCCAAGAACCCAAGTTCTGTTTCCCCAGAACAAAACTGGATGACATGAGCTTCTGTCCAGGACCAGAAATGGTCACCAGGCTCTTCTGCGTGGCTTTTTATCTCCTGTGGGCAGGTGAGTACAGGTGGGCTCCTGTCCCTGGAATTCTCAAGACCTCAATACTAGCCTTCCTCTTGGGATGACAAGATCAGCTCTGTCTATCACAGGACCTGTGGAGGCCGGGATCACCCAGAAACCAAGACACAAGATCACAGTGACAGGAGAGACAGTGACTCTGGAATGTCACCTGACTGATAACCATGACTATATGTACTGGTACCGACAAGACCTGGGACATGGGCTGAGGCTGATCCATTACTCCTATGGTGTTGGCAACACTGAGAAAGGAGAAATCCCTGATGGGTACAACGTCTCGAGATCAAATAGAGAGGATTTCCCCCTGACCCTGGAGTCTGTTATCCCCTCCCGGACATCTGTGTACTTCTGTGCCAGCAGTGACTCCACAGTACTGCACAGCTGCTTGCTCTCTGCACATAAAGCGTAGTTACAAAGACTGAGGGTTGCCTGCACACGTGAGGTCTGGCCCAAACCCTCAGAAGCCCCTGTCTCCATCAAAGGCACAGAGTTCTTGCCAGCATGGGGGCTGGACAACAGTGGGCAGTGTGACTCTCAGTGCTGAAGCCTGCCCCATGCAAGTCTTAGCCTGACTTCAGGTCAGCTCAACACTACAGCTAGCTGGTTCTCTCTTCTGAGAAAGGAAAATGCATCTTTAGTTGAGATACATGAAGATCCCCTTGATAATCTCAGAGGGGCCCACATCCTTCTCTCCCCTGTGAGCTTTGTGACGTCTTCATCTACTGCCTACCCCACCCTCTACTATCCTTCACCTTACAGGTCAGAAACCTTCACTCACTGGGACTTCCCTGGTGGTCCAGAGGTTAAGAATCTGCCTTCTAATTCAGGGGACACGGATTCGATCTCTGGTCGGAGAACTAAGATCCCACATGCCGCAGAGCAGCTAAGCCTGTGTGCCACAGCTAGAGAGCCCATGCGCCGCAACGAAAGATCCCACATGCTGCAACCAAGACACGGCGCAGCCAGAAATAAATATTAAAGAAAAAGAGAAATGTTCACTCACGTGGTCTCTGCTCCTGGCTGCCTTTCTTCGACTGGGCAATAGCCCTACAAGATCCCTATAATGTTTGCTTCTGCCTGTCCCTCACCATCGTCTTGCACAAGTTTCCCCTGACATTCCCTGCTCCAGCCACATGCATCCACATTTAGTTTTTTCCTCTTCTGTGCCATGTGCTTTGCCACCCTAAGATCTTTCCTGTAGGCTGTTTCTCTCTAAACACTAAACATATATCCCTCCCTCTTCACTAGGAGAAATTAAGAAAAAATATTCTGGGGCATTCATCTGAGGAAGGGTTTGTTTTTTTGTTTTTTAAATGGAGACACAAAAGAACACAACCTACAAAGAAAATATTTATAATGTGAGTTGCATTCAATTAAACTCTCGTACGTCAGAACACACTGTAAAAAATGAAAAGGTAAGCCACAGACTGAGAAAAGACATGAAGACTGCAGACAGATGATAAAGAATCAGTGTGACAGAGACCGTTCGTGCTCACCAAATTCCTGTGGCTCCGATGTGATTCCAACATCACTATAGTTGGAGGGTTGGGAACCTAAGACTAGGTTCTGAACAATGGGATGTGCGTGAAAATTATGCAAGCCAGTTTCAAGCTGTGTCCTTTATAACATTCTGTGGCACTGTGATGAGGCCTCCAAGTATCCTCCCATTTGGAGATTTGCTAAAAGGCTCACGGGATGTGGCATAGAGTTGAAATCATGGCTAAGATTTATTAGTGACCAAGGAGATATTCAGTGACAGATCATAAGGGAAAAAGACATGGAGTCTAGAAGAATCCATCCATACACAGGCTTTGTTATGCTCTCTTTCTCCTGGGAGGGCTCACACTTCCCCCAGCAAGAAAAATGCAGCAACATGGGTATGATATTTCTGCCAAGGGAGCCCACTGAGGACTCAGTGCCAAGGTTTTACTGGGAGCTGATCCCATAGGCACCCACTGCCTATCACGAATGGAAGTCTCCCAGAAGGAAATCCAGTGTTCAGCATAAACTATGTTGTTCACACCAATGGTCCAGGCACAGTGAAACACTCTTCTCAAAAAAACTTTCTATCAATATAGATAGCTGTTCACCAGCCAAGTTCCCAGATGCCAGCCAAAGGCCAGACTTGCAAGCAGGCTTTCTAGACACAGCAGTCTCAGACCTGCTGTATTAGCTTCTTTCTGCATGGGCACGCCTCAACTCTCTTTTCCATGCTTTGAGGAACTTGGAAGGTACCCATTACAGTCTGGCTAATTAAACTGTAGCCTGGCTCCCTGGATCGTAATTTGGTGGACAACCACAGAAAGAAGCTGTTCATGCCACACTGGACTTCATGGTCATGGGGAATAGAATGTTCTAGAGTTAAACCACTGGGATTTTAGGGTTTGTTTTATTTTCTGTAGCATAGCTGACCTTGTCTATTAGAGTTAGTATCGAAAATGAATAAATAATTCTTATTACTTAATAAGGAAAAGATGACCCAGTAAAAATGGCAGTACTTAATCTAGGTAATTCTAGGTAACATGAATTCTCACTAAACATGTGAATACATTCTCAACCTTACTTAGAATCAAACTATTGCAAACTGAAACAGTAAGTTACGACCTCAAACTTACCAGACTGGAAAATTTTCAAGAGTGACAGTCTGAAATTTGAGTAAAGGTACCGATTACTGGAAACTCTCTTACACTACAAAAGAAAAATTACAGGGCTTCCCTGGTGGCAAAGTGGTTAAGAATCCGCCTGCCAATGCAGGGGACACAGGTTCAAGCCCTGGTCTGGGAAGATCCCACATGCCAAGGAACAAATAAGCCCGTGCGCTACAACTACTGAGCCTGCACTCTAGAGCCCGCGAGCCATAACTACTGAGCCCGTGTGCATTAACTTCTGAAGTCCGCATGCCTGGAGCCCGTGCTGCACGACAAGAGAAGCCACTGCAATGAGAGGCGCGCGCACCGCAACGAAGAGTAGACCCCGCTCGCCGCAACCAGAGAAAAGCCTGTGCGCAGCAACGAAGACCCAACACAGCCAAAAATAAAATAAATAAAAGAAAATTACAGCTATATCAGAGGGCATTTTGTGGGATATACTCCGACAACAGCACTTCAGGATAAATTACCAAAATACTCAAATTACTTAGGTTCCTTTCACTGTCTTTATATAACAGCTGCACAGGACCATTTTCTCTGTGTCAAGAGAGGCTGAGTGTTCTAAAGGATAGTCAAAAACTCACAAACTTTGGGAAGTTGACTGAATGTAAATGGAGGAAAAGTAGTATTTATCCCAAGTTGTAGTTGAACAGTATGTATTAGTGTAATGAGGAGGGAACAGGAGCTGCAGGGGAGCTGGGAGGATTTACCTTCACAAACACTGCCTGGTGTCAGCCCCAGTTCTAATGCAAATAGCGGAGAAGTCGCACCAGGCTCCCTGGGCCATTGGATGAAGGGCCTCAGGCCAGTGACCCCGAACCACTGGCCATCGGGAGGCATTGGTTTTGGATGGAGAAGCAGATCGGGGTTTTTTGTATTTAATTAATTAACTAATTAATTAAATTATTTACGTATTTATTTATTGAAGCATAGTTGATTTACAATGTTGTGTTAGTTTCTGGCGTACAGCAAAGTGATTCAGTTATATATGTATGTTCTTTTTCACGTTGTTTTCCATTATGGTTTATTACAAGATATTGAATATAGTTTCCTTGCTATACCGTAGGACCATGTTGTTTATCCTTTCTATATACAATAGTTTGAGTCTGCTAATCCCAGACTCCCAATCTATCCCTCCTCTACCCACCCTCCCCCTTGGCAACCACAAGTCTGTTTTCTATGTCTGTGACTCTGTTTCTGTTTTGTCAATAAGTTCATTTGTGTCATATTTTAGATTCCACATCTAATTGATATCATATGGTATTTGTCTTTCTCTTTCTGACTTATTCACTTAATATGATAATCTCTAGGTCCATCCATGTTGCTGCAAATGGCATTATTTCATTCTTTTTTAATGGCTGAGTAGTGTTCCATTGTGTATATGTACCACATTGTCTTTATTCATTCATCTGTCAATGGACATTTAAGTTACTTCCATGTCTTGGCTATTGTAAATAGTGCTGCTGTGAACATAGGGGCCCAGGTATATTTTTGAATTATAGTTTTGTCTGGGTATATGCCCAGAAGTGGAATTGCTGGATCATTTGACAACTCTATTTTTAGTTTATTGAGGAACCTCCATACTGTTTTCCATAATGGCTGCACCAATTTACATTCTCACCAACAGTGTAGGAGGGTTCTCTTTTCTCCACACTCTCTTCAGCATTTGTTATTTGTAGACTTTTTAATGATGGCCGTTCTGACCAGTGTGAGGTAGTGCCTCATTTTAGTTTTGTTTTACATTTCTGTAATAATTAGTAATGTTGAGCATCTTTTCATATGCCTATTGGCCATCTCTATGTCTTCTTTGGAGAAATGGCTATTTAGGACTTCTGCCCATGTTTTGATTGGGTTGTTTGGTTTTTTGTTATTGAGTTGTATGAGCTCTTTGTATATTTTGGAAATTAAGCGCTTGTCAATTGCATCATTTGCAAATATTTTCTCCCAGTCCGTAGGTTGTCTTTTCATTTTGTTTATGGTTTCCTTTGCTGTGCAAAAGCTTATAAGTTGGTTTTTTGTTTGTTTGTTTGTTTTTAGGTAAGAAGTGGATTTATTTAGAGAGAAACACACTCCACAGACAGAGTGTGAGCCATCTCAGGAGGTGAGAAAATGCCAAAAGCTTATAAGTTTGATTAGGTCCCATTTGTTTATTTTTGCTTTTATTTCTATTGCCTTGGGAGACTGACGTAAGAAAACTTTGGTACAATTTATGTCAGAGAATGTTTTGCCTATGTTCTCTTTTAGGAGTTTTATGGTGTCATGTCCTACATTTAAGTCTTTAAGCCATCTTGAGTTTATTTATTTATTTTGGGGGGGGGGTTGAATTTTTGTTTAATTTATTTATTTAATTTATTTATTTTTGGCTATGTTGGGTCTTTGTTGCTGCGCATGAGCTTTCCCTAGTTGCAGCGAGCAGGGGCTACTCTTTGTTGAGGTGCACAGGCTTCTCATTGCGGTGGCTTCTCTTGTTGCAGAGCCCAGGCTCTAGGTGTGTGGGCTTCCGTAGTTGTGGCACATGGGTTCAGTAGTTGTGGCTCGCGGGCTCTAGAGCGCAGGCTCAGTAGTTGTGGTGCATGGGCTTAGTTGCTCCGCGGCACGTGGGATCTTCCCGGACCAGGGCTCAAACCCGTGTTCCCTGCATTGGCAGGCGGATTCTTAACCACTGCGCCACCAGGGAAGCCCTTGAGTTTATTTTTGTGTATGGAGTGAGG